TGTCTAAAAAGGAGATGTTGGTGCTGGAGTATTCTAGAGAAAGTTTCGTAGTTTCTAGGGTCAGAAGGGACCTGGGCAGATCATCTAGTCCAACCCCCTGCCATGGTAGGAAAGAGTACTGGGGGTCAAACGACCCCAGCAAGATGGTCATCTAACCTCCTCTTAAAAACCCCCAGGGTGGGAGCCTGCACCACCTCACTTGGATGGAGGGATGGTGATTGTTGGATGGAGGGATGGTGATTGTTGAATTTCTGATGGGTACTCAATCACAGGTTGTAGGTTTTCAGTCCAAATGATGAAGATGTCATCGATATATCTTAAGTATAGCAAGAGTTTGATGGTGCAGTTCTTGAGGAAGTCTTCTTCCAGGTGGCTCATAAAAAGGTTGGCATACTGTGGAGCCATTTTAGTAAATAAAATAGATATATAAAAATATAGACATTGGATTTATGACACATTATAACCTGCCTGACATCTGACTCCCCAGGTAGCTCTCCACTTACATCCCCCTTCTCTCTCTTCTCTGCCCCCCCCCACCCGAAGCCTGTTTCTCACCCATTGACTCCTCAATCTACATTTTCACTGACTACCTGTCTTGTATGCATACCAGCCCAGCCACTGGCTTCTTTACTTTTCATTCCATCCAGGAAGAGCACACACCAACTGCTGAAACTTCCTTAGCCTGACGAAGGGTTTTTGAACCCAAAAGCTTGCTTAATAACTATTCTCCAACTATTTGGGTTGGTCTAATAAAAGATATCAGATTCACCCAAGGAACCTTGTCTTCACTGTAGTTATGAATTATTGTACATGTAAAATGTTTATGCAATAATAACAGAGAGATGCTGTGATAGAAAATTGAGAAATAATCAGAAGTAGTTAGAATAAGAGTAAATCCTATGGTCTTTTGTCAGAAACCACTTGCGGTCAACAAGAGATTTTATGGAATTAGGAGTGAATTTGATTTATAGAATTTGAGCCTATAACTATGAAACAACAATTTTTTCCCTAAAACTGTTATTGTTAATTTGTATTTAAACAGCAGCGCTAAGGTATGGTATACATCACTTTTTCTTATCTGTCTTATTGAAACACAGGTTAGGGACAGCACTCCGCTTGTATCTCCTACTACAAACAAAACAGCTCCATTTGGCCTCAAGCCACGATCAGGTAACGTTGTGGGAAAGAAAAAATTACAACAGCCTACTTTTATTGGCAAACTCAAGAATACTTGCTGCTTTTATCTTGTTCCTTTTCAACAGGAATTAATAAAACTCTTCACTTTAACGTTTGTTTATTAATGGTGAATACTCACCTACAGTAGACATTTGATAAGAAAGGATACGAAAACTCTGTCCCTAATATCCTTTGAAGAACTGCAGCCTTAAATTCATGAGTTTGAGAATGTACTTTAGCAACACTAAGCTTTCAGCATATTTGCATGGATTATTTTTTTATACTGTACTTATACAATTAAATCATTTTGTCTACCTGATATGGTACTTGGAGAATCCTGTATTTATCTTGTTGGCAGGTGTGGAAGTATTTTATAGCTATTTATGTATAGTATATATGAATAAGGTTCATTCTGTTAATTATGGCGCAATTGCTATGGAAATATATTCACCAGCCTTTCAACAGGAGTACATATGTTAAAAAATAAATAGAAGTTAATATAGCCGTGGGCTTCAGAATGAATCCTCGATGCATTAAATCTGCATAATTATTAACATCTCAACAAACATAGAAAAATTCATAAGAACCTATTTTAACTGTCAGGGTGTTCAACTGCTTAGGGTGTTCAGAATGAACAAATTCACTTTTTAAATATGGGATCAGCACAAGGATGACTACATTTTTATCTTCTGCTTGCTGAAATAGCCAATATTGGAAATCATCTCACATTGTCTCTGAAGGAAAACATAGCCTATTCAGATTTTTCACTGTTTCAGCTTTCTAAGACTAATTCTGGTTTCTCTCTTTCACCACTAATACCTTTAATTGAATGCTGGTAAACTACTAGAAGCTTGTAGTTTTCATAATAAAAATATTTTGGCAAAAACAGCAGCAATTTCATATTTGAATGTATTTTAAGAAATTGTACCCATAGAATTTAGTAAAACATAACAAGTGTTTAATGAAACACGGAAAAGGTTGTTGAACATTTACTGTGTTATACACAGGGTATATAAAGCCACTGTGTATTTTATATGCAAATTAAGCAGGATAATCAAAAGATGTGAACTAAACTGAAGTGCAGGCATTCTTGTTTTGATATTTAGGTTATGGATCTTATTGTGATTCCTGGTGTGAGCCTTGTACAATTAATGAACTGTATGTATACTCAACTTTTCCAGTGAGAGTTGGTTCATCTGATACATCTGTAATCCTTCCAGTTAATATAATTTTGCTTTTAAAGCTTTCTTCTCTGCTTAATTAATATTCTTAGTTATATGCCTTATTGCTGCAGGGCTGGTGTTGGAAGCCAAGTATGCTGTGTGACCCTGTAAAATGGTTTAGCTTGATGTAAAATTGAGGTTTAATAGCATTCTTGGTTAAGTAATCTGTAACCTTGTGGGAAAGAACTCTTAAAAATGCACTGAAATAATCATTTTAGCTATTTAGTTGTATGGTTTAAATTGTACAGGAACACATAATTCAATAACAGTGCAAGATTTGTTTTGAAATTATTTTAACAGGAATTTGTAAATCTTATTCTAAAAACAAAAACAGAGAAGGATATCTGAAAAACAAAGAAAAGAAAATGCCTTTGGGGATAGTTAAGTTTTTCAAACAATCTATAGTCAATATGTCCTTAGCAGATTCTTGTTTGTTTTTCCTGTATGATTCTCCTTAAAATGTAACATAGTAGCCTCTTATCTGGCTATTTTTATTGTTTTTTAAAAATGTGGGTCTGTAGGATAGGTAGTGATAAAGGAAGTACTGGATTTCTAGTAATGATTCCAGCTCTGCACTGCATATACAAAGCAAAGTGCTTTCAAAGGATAAATCAATACTAAACCTGTGCTCATGACTAAAAGTCCTTTTATTCCTATAGCTTAAATCTAGCCAAAACAAGGAAAACCTCTGTATCTGGTGCCTAATTTGGTATCCAAAGAAAATGTTTTTCAAAAAGGTAATGAATACTCTTT